CTCCCAGCCCCGGGCTGCCCCCAAACCTGCCCCGGGAGGAGCCGGCTCCGGGCACCGCACTGCCCGCTTCTGCACCCCGAGTTCCTCCAGTTCCTCCAGTCCTACCGCTTACAGGGCAGGCACCGGTATTGCAATCATCGAAAAAAACCTGCCTTTTTCTTTTTTCCTTTTTTTTTTTTTTTTGACTATGACTCTGCTGCTTTTTTTCCTCAATAGTCACCCATTGCAAATGAGTCCCCTGTTATTGTTATTGTTGTTTTTAGGCTTAAGATTTACTTTGGTTGTGAAAATTTTTTTTTTCCCAAAGTCGTTATTTAACCCAAAGCATTGCATCACTCTTAAGTAAAATGATTTTATTTTTTTTTTAGTGTTTGCTTTGGATTAATAACTCAGCACTTGCATTCCTTCAAGAGCTTACACGTCTTTTGTAACCGTCAGAAGTTGTAGCAGCAGCGGATTACTCCGTGGCTGTCCAGGCTCCCTGTCTGGACTTCACTGAAGTCCATGAAACAGCTTGTAGGCATTTCTCTGGGTGTCAGATCAGGACTGATTAATTTTCAGAGCAAAGAGTGTGAAGAAATTTTTTAATATTTGAGAATTTCAAGTTCCTTTTAAGTAGAAATATTTCCGGCAATGGAGGACCAGTTTATATAAGTCTGTTACTAGAGTTGTGGCTACACCTTTAAAGCATAATTAATCCATTAAATAAAGTAATGGTGAAGCACTGAATAATAGATCAAGGATAAAGCAGATTCAAAAAGTAAAAATAGATTAGAACTAGGAAATGTTACTTTATTAACTACTGCAGTGCATTTCTGCTTAAAGCACTTTGATGCATTTTTGGCTTCTGATGAATGGGCAAATCTCAGATGAGAGCTGACGTAGGTGTTCCTGTTCCCATCCTCTGAGCCTGAAAGGTGCTTTTCCTTTGCAATTTAAGGACTTGTTTCAAACCTTCCTCAATTCAGTGGTGGTTCATGTGCTGACTTCAGTTGTCTTTGGAGCTGGCCTTTCACCTGGGACTTTTTCCTTGAGCTGAATTTTCCACAAACCTGTGTTTAAATGGGGTGCTGAAGAGGAATGTCCTTCATGTTGTGTCCTGTGAAGGTTAGGAGTAGCGGCATGAATTACACATTGCAGATAAGGTCTGGGCAGGAGCATTTGGGTTGAATATTTTCAAAACTTGTCATACATTTTTGGAAAGGAAGCCTTAGAAGTTCTGCCAGATGTATAAATGTGTGTGTGAGTTTTAAAACTAAATTTTTCAGCACGGTGTTCTAGATACCCTTGCATGCCAGGACATAACTCAGACCTGTTTTGCGGCTGAGTGGTACTTCACTCCAGGACTGGTCCCACAGAGATGGATGGGGTTTGAGATATACAACTGAGGAAAAAAAAGGGAGTCAGGAGCTGACTGGTGAGGAATAGCAGAGCCTGTGACTTCAGCTGAGCAGCGGACACTGGTGTGCCAGGGGCAGCCAAAATCACTGGACCTGCAGGTTTTTTGTGACTACAGCAAAATTAGACCATTAGAGTGCTTTTTTTTGAGAGGGAGAGAGAGGTTAGAAAATAACCATTATCTACCTGGCAGGCTGTAGTGGTCATTTTATGGTCGTATTAGTCTTGTAAGTGAATACTCTGTATGATCGGGCTCACCTGTAGCACAGAGCTGTCTGCTTCGTGAAATGTGTGTTTAGGAGGAGTGCTAGCTGTTTGGGTTACACACACTATTTAATGGCTTGACCCTAATGCAACAGCTTTTTCCTAAATTACTGGCTGATCAGTAAATACGTATTTTGATCAGGCTTCTGCTGGTTGAACTAGAATATTTACCCAGTAGAGTACAGTCTAATGGCACTTATCATGTAAATCCCGAGGTAAGAGCTGTAAGTTTTTTTCCTCAAGCGAATGTTTGTTCTGATATGCAGTCTTCCCCAGAGCCGTTATCATCTTTTATGTGCATTTTTACAAGTTGCCTGTTTATGTACTGCTGACCAGTGCCTTTGGTCTGTCACTCCTCCTGTCAGACATTAAGAGAGTAGCAAGTTAATTAAGCTTACCTTTTGGGTGTAATTAGAACCTTTAACTAATGGCATTTCTCATTGGAGAAAGGAGACTGTTTTCTTGCATTAAGTTCGTATAATAAAAAGTCTGATAAACTTTTGGTTAAAAAATAGGCAAAAGATGTGCAGTAACCTGTTTCCAAACCCTAAGATGTCCACTGCTCTTCATGGTTTCTGGGTTTTTTAAAACATACTCAGTAGTTTGCATTTTGGTTTGTGCTTATCTAAGCTGTATTGGGTAAGTGGCTGAAATATTTCCCCCCTGCCTTGCAGAGGAAATGCTACCACAGTAGCATTTCTGGGATGCGGACACTTATGCAAAGGTTTTTCTATTACACTTTTAAGACCTCTTTTAGTTACGTGTAATTCTAGATAAGAACCACAGAATCCATATTTAAACTTCTATTTTAACTACTTCCACTTGGACTTCTCTAATAAAACTATCATGCAGTCTTGCATTTGCAAAGGCATTCAACCATAAGATATTATCATAAGAAACTAGAAGGAATAGTCACTTAGAAGTCTTTAAATTAATAGAAAATCTCCTATCTTAGCTACTCTGTAAGACAAGATTCCTGACTGTTTGGTGCGCTTGGTCCTTGCAGCTGCCTGAGCTCACCCAGGCTCCGATCCGGGAAGCAGAATGGGACGTGCCAAGGTCCATCAGTGCTCACAAGTTGGGACTGTAAATCACTGTCTGTCCTGGATTTGGCCCTGAGCAGCTCTGTATGTGGTCATGGCTTTAAACATCCCAGGCTCAACTCTGAAACATGCCTGCCAGGAGCCTGTACGTTCAGATCCATGGGAGATACAAGTTTTGCGAATCAGCCTTAAATCCTCTTACTCAGCCTTAACGAGCTATCGTAACTTGTGGGGTGCCAGAGGCAGCTTTCGAGCACCCGATCTGCCCTATTTCTGGAGCATATTTATTATTAATTTTATTTGCCTAATGCTGTATTGAACTCCAGGCCTGCGACCGAGACCAGCAGTGCGGAGGAGGGATGTGCTGTGCCGTTAGCCTCTGGATCCGCAGCCTGCGAATGTGCACGCCGATGGGAAATTTAGGAGAGGAGTGCCATCCTTTGAGTCACCGAGTGAGTATGTCACTGGGGGGGCTGTGGGACCGGAGCTGGCAGGGCACAAAGAAACAGGAATATACTGCACTGTACGTCACGTTGCATAAAAACGATACGTGGTGAAAAGGCGGGGAAACATCCCATGCGTTATGATACCCAGCTATTCGCATTTGTATGGAAATAGCACTGCAGGTACCTACGTAAGAAAATACATTACTGTCAAAATTATGCTGAAGGGAATCCGAGGATGAAAGTACTACAGAATTCCCAGATTGTTTTCTTATTAGTTTGTTGTTGCTGTTTTGCATCATTACATGATCTGAAACAGCTCTAGCAGTTCCCGAGCCCAGCCCTGCCGATGCCTACGTGTGTGAGCAGGAGCATAGCAAATGGCACCGACCTCGGTGGAACTGGGCGAGATCCCATCACAAGCATAAAAATATCACCAGCTGGTGTTGGGACACCTGGTGCACCACTGCAGCACGGTCCCTGCCGTCAAACAGCAATGTCCTGATGTGCTCCAGAGGCTGAGAGCCACCGGTGCCTTCGAAAGCCATTGAGAAGGCCTTGACACACGCTTGTACTTGAGAAAAATCGCCACGGGCTCTCTTTGCTTCTATTCTACCTATGAATTTCAAATATATATGTGTGTATACATCTATACACACACATATATATGATACTAGTTGCATATTAGTACCTTATTATGTGACACACTATTATTAATATAATGATATTAACAAATACATTTATTTAAAGCCACATAATTATATGTATATTATAAACCACATATATTATTTGTAGTATGAAAAAGGCTGCTTATTTATAAGTAATACAGAAGACTGAATGGGATGTTACCAAGGAGCTTGAGAACTTGGTGGTCTTCAGAGCCATCCTCAGGGAAGAGTATGGCCCAAGAGTCATCACATGTGAAAGATATCAAGGCAATAAACTTACATTATAAACGTGCAGCTAGTTAGCTGCCTCTCTCACTCTCTCATCCAGTGCCTGGCTTCTCAGATCAGTATCTATGGTATATTTTCTCAGTTTTAGGAAGTTCAAGGCTCTGTTCCGTTACAGTTAAATTTTTAAATCTTCTGTTGTGATATTGGGGACCAAATTCTCGTTTTTACTATGTAATGTAGCAGGGTTTTCTTGTAAGGGCTCTTTACATTAACAGGATTCTCAGGATAAGAGAAATTGTCTTCTAGTTTTTTGGGGTTTTTTTACGAGCTTATTGCTATTGGGCAATAATTTATACTGTCTGATATATTTTAAGCTAATTGCCTGCATAAATACAATCAGAGAAGATGCCTGTCCACCCCAGACTTACAGTCATAGTCACTGATGTTTATAAGCTTTATGAGGTTAATTTTAGATTTAGATTCCTCACCCCGCTGCTCCTCACAACAAACACAAAGCAAATTGATTTACTGTAGTATGTGAAATTAGGTATTTTTAAGGATGGAGAGTTTGCTCAACGGTTCCTCTCCCCTCGATATTTGGGTAGGGGGCAGCTGGGAGACCAATCGCCCTGAGCACCAAAACCTTTCCTTTGCCTGCAGGTCAGGTACAAAGCAGCCACCACCACGGCCATGCCACCACCTTGGGGACCTCCAGACGAGCCTGGAGATACCCTGGGGACGATGGCTGGGCAGTTGGATTTCCACCTTCTAGTTTCCTTCTCAGCGACTAGATGGCGTTGGCTCGATGCCGTTCCCAATCTCCGTTGGCATTGCCGAGGCAGGGTTTGCAGGCAGGGTCGGGCGGGCGAGATTTGGCAGGTCAGCAGACTGAGCTGGCAGCACAGGGGTGGCTTTGCTGCCGCTCTGCACCTTCCACGTCACCCCCACGTCTCTCCCAGCAAGTCCCTTGTTTTCTTTTCGCCCACAAACCCCCATTGCCTCGCACTCATTAAAACCCGGTGCTGGGCACACGGCGTGGCAAAGCGTGCACCGGCTCAGCCGGCGATGCCAGCACCAGCTGCGGGTACGTAGGCTCTGCCTGCGCAGGCAGAAGCTGCGCGCCCCGGCAAAGCGCCCGTCCTGCGGAGCTGACACCCGCCGCCTGTCCCCAAACCGGTGCGTTATTAAGCCACGTCTTCAGCGTGGGAGTCCCGCTGAAAGGAATTCCTCGCAGCGAATGTAGCCTTTTGAATAAATCACTTGAGCTGTCGGAGGGCTGAGAGGTACCTCTGAGTCAGCCGTACCAGCCTGAGGAGCTCAGATTTTTTTTTTTTTTCTGCAGTGCTGTGCGTGGGCACCCGAGAGGTGTGATTCCCATGGGGAGTCCCCAGCACCCGTGGTCGGTGGCCTCGCCGGGGCAGAGGGGCCGTGGTGGGTGGCATGGGGAAGCCCACGGCGTCCCTTGCTCTGGGGTTGCTCTTCAGACGGTGCTGGGCAGGGGGCTGGTGCTGGCCCAGGGCACTGCAGGCAATGTGAGCCCCCCGCTCACCCCCCCGTACCTGATGGGGTGTCACTGGAGTGGGCAGGTCCTTGGTGCGATGCAGGGGGAACATGTGGGATTTTCTCCCTTGGACTTTCTTAAAGAGAAAATTTGCACACCGACACGAAACAATCCTGGAATATTAAAATCGCAGGCTCAAAACACCCAGAAATCTGGAAGTGAGGGAATCAGAGCTGCCTGCCTGGCTTGCAGCAGTGGCTTTATACCTCTGCGCTTCCCTCGCTGCATCCCGACGGATGCTCGGTGCGTGCTGCCGGTCGGCAGCGCCGCAGCTCCCGGCCATGCTGTTCCAGCAGGCTGTCCTGCTGGGCTCGGCTCATGTGCTGGCAGAGGCACAGCTCCTGTAAAAGGCAGAGCTCGTGATCGAGTTGTTAACGAGTGTCAGCACGTATGCACATCGTGGCACAATTAAATTTGCGTAATGCAGTCCGTATGTGTGCTCCCTGCAACACGGCGTGGCTGGAGGAGGGTGGAATGAATTCAGAAACCTGTGCCTTGCGGTGAAAAGGATCCTGCTCAACGGGAGGGCGGGCGAGATGACCTCCTGAGTCCCTTCCAGCCTGAATTACTACGGGACCCTGCGGTTCCCGGGTCCTGCTACGCGGCTGACAGGCTGCTCTGTGCCGTACGACAGCGCAGGAATCGGGGCAGGCAGAAACCCCTGCACAGTAAACACCGCAAAACGTGATGCTAAAGGCTGGTGTAGTTTCACAACAAACTCCTTTGTGAAACGGGAGTAAATGGAGAACATGTGTCACAGATGTAGATTTACACAGCAACACGGACTGCTATATTTTGCTCTTAACTGTGGCTTGACCGGGAAATGCGATGGGGTTGGCTTTGCCATCTGCTCTCCAGCCCCCATGCTGCAGCTTGTGGGGATCTAACCGCCGTGGAGGGAGTTATCCCCGTATCCCCACTCTTCACCCGAATCCACCCGCCCCCCAAGCACCACGGCTGCTGTGCCCCCCGTCCCTGACGTCCGTGCTCTTTGTCCCCAGGTTCCCTTCTCCGGACGGCGGATGCACCACACCTGCCCGTGTCTCCCCGGCCTGGCCTGCGTACGGACTTCTCCCAGCAAATTCAAATGTTTACCGGACTTCAGAAAAGAAGATGTCTTTTTTTAGCAGGAGCTATTCTGCGCTACAAAGAGCCACTCGATGTATTCTTTTTCTTGTTATTGTGATGAACAAGGTACTTGCCAGGGGGAACCCTTTACCGTACTTTCCTTCCTCACCAACATTAAAACTGAAGATGAGATACTGTGTTGTAGTGGCCAAGGTTTTCACGACTCACGGTGGCGGATGCTTTCATTTTGGGGTGAGCGAAAGGACATCTGCTAAAGCAATATTGCTTTCTGAGGGCAGGAGCTTAACGCTTTCTGAACCGTCTCGTGGCCTTCATGGTTCCAGCTTAACCCCAGAATGAAAACATCCAAGATTATTGTCAGTTTTGGAAAATTTTGGCCACTTTTTTACATTTTGGAATGCCTGAATCGAACACAGAGTTGAATAACCGCATAGTGTCAAGCATATGACAATTGCCAAAACCCTGTATTTACATTACATTTCGTATCTTTATTAATATAACTGTATTTGTAAGTTAGGCGCATCTCTAGGGTAAAAGTTTAACCAATAGATGTAGTTTTTACACTTTTTAAAAGTGGCAGGTGGAACCAAAGCATTTCAATATTCAAAGCATTAAAAGATTTTGTTATTTTAGTATTCTAAGATGAGAAGAAGTTGTTGTTACTTGAGTTGGTGTAAAACTACCTGATCGTCTCAAACTATGTATTAAGATGTAGTTTATATTAAAAAAGGAACCCTGAAGTTTATTGTAATGGGCTGCCTGACTTCTTGTATATGTATCAAATTTGCTGTGTAAAAATTCTGTATCAGAATAATGGCAGTATATGATTTGATTTATTTTAATATTATAACATTATTTTATCATTGTGGTTTTCCATTTTTATTCAGTGTAATCTGTTATCACACACTCGATTCACCCAAGCTAGCAGAGCTGCTTACGGATAGCTTAGCAAAAGATTATGTGCCTCTGGCTGCTTTTAGGGAAACTCAGCAGTTTACAAGGCATGAACTCCTCAACCAAACTGCAGTCTTAGACGATGGAGGAATCTTGGTGTAGCTAATACAAGAGGTTTTTCTTGGCACGTGCCTCAAAGAATCAACTTTAGCCCAGCAAACATCAAATTTGTGGGTTTTCTATGAAATGCTGTGCAACTTCATATTTACTTGTCATGCCTGGAGCTGGAATTCCAATAGTTTGTGTGAGTTTCACACATTTCTTGCTCTCAGACATGCAAACATATGCTGGAACTGGAGAAGTGAAGTCATTCATCTTTCAACAATCAGTGCTTTGCTGCTGATGACGATGGGGAAGGGGGGAGAAAAGTTAGCATGCTTGTATTAAGCCAAACACCTGTATTACTTAGAGAAGATGAGAAACATCCCAGGGAATTTACCAGGTACCTTCCGCTGGGCTCCACAGCCTCACTGAGGAGACAGAAAGGAACAGCTGGACTTGTTATTTTGCCAGATCCTTGTGGATCCTCCACATGTTAGAAAAATAAATGTCTTGAGAGACAGGATTGCATCTTCCTGGCTCAAGACAGCCCAACCCCAGGGCTCTATGTATTTTGCTTCACCCTTTGCGGTGGCGATACAGCAGCTGTGCAAGTGGCAACAGACTCAGGTCCTGTAGGAAAAAAAAAAAAAAGTCTGAGGTGCCACCAAATGGTAATTTTATATGTGGTTTGCATTAATGTAATCAGGTACAAAGTGCCTGTATTAGATCTGAAGTCTTAGAGGCGGTCATCGCTAACCCAAAGGGCTGAATTGTGCTGGTGAAAGACCAGCTCATTCCCATGCTAATGCAGTGACACATAAGCACTGCAGAAATTCCCATAACCTGGATTTAAAGACTTTTCTGTCTTTTTTGCTTTTCTGTCCATGTCTACCAGTATAAAATTAGCTTAATACCATGGACTTCAATTTACATTCAAAGGGAGAATCAAGAAGGAAAATAGAAGCAGCCCAAGCGTGTATGTGTCCCATCTCTTGCTCCATTCATTTTTACCAAAGCACATTTTCTTGGTGCTCGAAACGATGAACCATAGCAGGAAACGCCAGCCCTGCTTCTCATCTCCCGCTGTCATAAATCACCAGTGACTCCACTGAAGGTAATAATCCTGGTTTGTATCATTGTAAATGAGTGGACAATTATATCTGATGACTGCCTTAGACCTGCCATGCTGAACTCCTAGGAGAGTTTATCAGAAAAGAGCAGAGCAGCTTTGTAGTTGTAATTTGTGCCAATTAACTTGTGGGATTAGGCATTTATCTGGGTAATGAGAACAGCCCCAATTACACGAGATCAAAGTTCACACCATCCATAGGAGGTCAAAGTACTCGAGTCCTGCAGATGCTCCTGGACAGGGCATTAGGAAGGTGCTTCTTTGAGAGAGACTTTATCCTGCACTTGCCTCCAAGGGACTTCTCCGCACCTTCCCTGCCGCAGCCGCTCTGCCTGCTGCGGGAGCGTGGCTGCTGGCACAGAAGAGCTAAAGGCAAAACCTCACTGTCCTACATCCCCACTACATTCACTTGGCAATCATTATGATGATTCCCCTTTTAGTAATTTAATTCTCATTAACTGACACTCACAATGAAGGTTAGTTGATCTGAGAGATCATTTTGGAAGGAAGATTAAGCTTTTGCATCCCAATTCTTTCCTAAACTCTGTCCTAATCAATTATCTTTTCTCCTGTCCTGGGGGAGATTTCCTAACGCAAGCACACCTGCAAAGCGCCTTTAATTTCTTTCTGCAGTGGAAGGGGGGGGGAGCCCTTTGCTTTACAGTGATAATAGGTAAACCAGTGACCACAAGAAATATTTGAAATGTAAATGACCATGCGTGCCCCTCTGCTTTTCCCTTGAGCCAGCTTTTGACTTGAGGGACACAGCAAACTGGACTCAATATGAATGATGGAAAAGGTGGCCAGCCTCGAGCCGGCTCTGCCGTGAAAGGTTTTCCGCAGCCCCCTGTGCTGCTCATTTTGCCTCAGCATCACCCTGGCAATAATCCCAGGTCAGGACCAGCTTCCCCGCCTGCCTGGGAGGAAGAGAAGGGGGCAGGCCCTTGCAAGAGAAATCAGACAAGAAAAGAGAACAAAATCCGTGCAGCCCTGGAAACACCTTTGTGAAAGGGAGAAGTCTCGTTCTCCAGTACGCGTAGCTTGTTAGGAGAGAGCCTTGTTTAAACGCTTTCCTTTATTCACTTCACTTAGGAGATCCGTGCCAACGTTTGGTTTAATTTTATTAATATTGGAGTAATATTATTAATTATTAATAGAAATGTGTGCATTAATTTTTAATATTATATTAATATTTATGTTGCAGATATGCTGTAGAATAATGATGATATCACACAAACCTGTAGGACTTTCTGTGTTTATTACCAGATATTGGGTTAACAGAGAGCCATTTCGGGAAAGGATACCACCACATATAATGAGTTGCTGCCTTAATTTGATTACATGCTTATTAGGAAAGGTGAAACAAGGTGTTTCAGGTTTGCGGGTGCACAGCTGGCTGAGCAAGCACGCACCTCTAAGCCTGAGGGAGCTGGAGGGAAAGCTCTGTTGCTGAGCTGGAGAAAACCCAGCTGAAATTCAGTCTCATCTACATTCTCCTGCCCACAATTTCCCCCTGGGAAATTTGGTCACTTTAAAAAAAAAAAAAAAAGTTACAAAGTCTTTGAATGAGGGGGTGAAACAACATAAATTCTCCTGGTTGTGTGGCAAGTAAGACTCAGATATGCATGAGTGCTTGCCTAGGAGACAGGTCACCCTACGTAGCTGAAGTGAGGCTGCTTAACACAAGGTTGAAGATTAGTTTGGTGGTTGAAAAAAGAGGCTGGAGCAGCACATGGGTCACTCTAAGGCAAGAAAAAGTAGGATTAAGGTTGGTTTTGTTCCTTTGCAGGTGGGCTGGAACCTATAGACTTTTTCTTACCCTGTAACTCGAGTGAGTTAGGAGATTTTTTATAGCACACCTTGTCAAGGGGTATTTTGTTAATTTGTGAGTATGACCACAGGCAAGGTCCTCACTGATGCCTTTCCCCTGCCCAGTAGCTCTCGATTTGTTATTACTGCACAGATGGATATTCAAAAGAAACAGAAGGTGCTGAGAATCCCTTGATTTAAACAAGATGTCTCAGGAATTTGATCTTGACAATGTGTAACATGTTTTCCAGAAGGAATTAGAAAATTGCAGGAAGAGAAAAGACTGTGCAAATACAAGAGGATTTTGATAATAGCAAAATCAATGCGCCTTTCTTTATTACATAGATATGAAATGCCAAACCAGCGGGGGTACAGCTGTTAGACTAATCAATAATTCTGAGCACAGGAACGGAGATGAGTTTAATGCACATCAAACATGCAGCAAATCACCTATCATTTCTCAAGGAGAGGCTTGAGTGCAGGCAGACCAGCCCAGTGCAGTAGGATACATCTCAATGATTTGGCAGGGCAGATTCCCCCGTATCATCCAGCTGCCTCGGAGGATGGTGGAGCCTTTGAGCCGCTCTGCCCGGTCGTCAGGGCTGGGAAAGGCTGAATGCGAAGGGCTGAAGCCGAGTAAGCCTGCTGCACTGAAGGGAGGGTGGATGGCAGCATGTTTCATGGCAAGAAGTACAGCGCAGGGTAACAGCAAGGTGTGCAGGAAAGGAGGAATGAGCAATATAACCATATAGCACACTTGTAAACACCCCCATGGCAGGGGTTTCCCAAAGGTCTGAGTGTAAGACAGCGTAGTACGGGGGGGGGAAATGAATGCCCGCACAATGTAAAAATGACAAAAAGCCTCATCTGCAACCCCTAATTTGCCTGGGAAACTGGGTACATGTTAATTGTGTGCCAGGAGCACCCAGAGCATCCCAGATCGATGCTCCTTTATACCATGGCACCAGATATCAGCGTGTTACAGGCACGTCGCTGTTCCCAGAAAGTTACGAATCTCATAGACCAGACAAAGCACGTGTCTGTGCTGTACGTGGCGTGTACCCACACCACTGCAGCCTGAGCTATCCTGGGATGCATAACTGT